GGGGGGGGGGCTGACGGTGGGTCATGTGACCAGGCTCTGGGTTGGGCTGGCCTAGAAGAGTGTTTTCTTACACCCAGAAAGTACAGGAAAGGCGGACGACACTTGTGCTCCGCAGAGCGGAAGGCTGGGGGGAACGGCGGGATGTTAAGGTAGGTAGGTGTCTCGCCATGCTTCATTGGCCTGAAAACTAATTTCTCAGGCGACCAGAATTACAGTATTTTTTGGTAGAGGAAACTATCCCTCGGCCAACCGCGAGCGTCTTAGACAGTCTGTCTTTTGTCCAGGAGCTCAAGAAGCAGAGACTCTACCTGCCCAAGGCGTTCGTGAAGAGAAGCAGCTGTTGCTATTGGAGGAGGTGGGTGCAAGGACGGCACATGCCATCCCTGAGAGGCGGTGACTGAGACTAGATGCGGGTGCAGGTAATGCCTCGGATCTGCCGGCTACCTCCTGCCTTTTGAACATCCCAGGGCTCCCAGCCCAGCGCCCGGTGTTTCTATGTGCGGGTGGGGGAGGTGGGCATACGGATGGAGTTGGCTTCAGGGGAACCCAGAGAGGGGAAATGGTGAAGTGACAATTCGTGAACACCTGTGGTACTGGATCAGGAAAGGTAAGGGTGGGGATGGGAACCATCGGCTTTGCTACTGCCGTCTTCCTCCCACCAAGTAGGCACTCTGCTCTCTGTCTGTCTGTCTGTCTGTCTGTCTGCTTACTGGCAGTATTCAGGCAGTGGGGATGGCTAATACCAGCTTAAAACTGGCAGAGGGTGGAGGAGGGCAGGAGAAGGGAACACATACATCTGCCTTTTACTGCAAGGCTCCAGCTGACTGGGGATGCAAGAGAGGAATGAACCTCAATCCTGGCAGTTCTAGGAAAAGGAGGAGAAGACATAGACTCGAGGAGAGGAAACCTAGATGCTGTGAGCCATTCACCTAGGATTTCTCATTAGGATACTCCAAGCTTCTCGACGGGATTCCTGGGTCTCAGCCCCATGCAGCAGAATCTCATTCCCATTGAGGGACACAAAGTGGGTTGCTGCTCCATGTGACACTCTCTCTCCCTGCTGTCTTGGGCCTCAGAGGAGGGTCTTTCTGGGGAGCACCTACAGAAACTGCTTCATGGATAGTCTCCTAAGTTCCCCTCTGCATACCCTTTGCCCTCTTGTGTTGTGATCTCTGCTCATTCCTTAGGATGTGTTTCTTTGGTCCCATCACAGGTAGCAACCCCATGGTAAGTCCTTGTCCTCTTTCACATTGAGTATCCTCCTTTCCCCCTGCCCCATGCATCCACTGGGTACCAAGTGAAAGAAAGTGGTTCCTCTACCCACAATACTTCTGGCACAGAATGTGTGGATTTTTCACACCAAGCAATTCTCCTATTCTTTGAGGACACCAGTTAGGTATCCTACAGTTTAATTCAATTCTGACACTACCCAGAGTTAGTGCAGACTTCTCTGGTTAAGGGCTCATTCCCATAAGACTGCCCTCCCCCACTTCAGACAGCAATCACAAGTAATGGATCTCCACGTTACCCACACTTCTGTCTGACTTAGCTCCCAGTTGGGAGTTTCCACAACCCCCTCCTCAGGTTCAATAATTTGCTATTGGGGCCCACTGAACTCAGGGAAACACTACTTCCTATTATTGGTTCATTATAAAGAATATAAATTAAAAGTCAGATGAAGAGGTACATTATGGCAAGGTCCAGAAGGGTCCCAAATGCAGAAGCTGCCATCCATGTGGATTTGGTGTACACCACCTTCCCAGAATATGAATGAGTTCACCAACCTGGAACCTCTCAGACATTTGGGGTTTTTATAGAGGTTTCATTACATAGGCGTGATTGATGAAATCACTGACCATTGGTGATTAGCTCAATCTTCAGCCCCTATCCTCTCCTTGGAGGTCAAGGGGTGAGGCTGAAAGTTCCAACCCTCTAATCATGTCTTAGGTGGGGAGGGGGAACATGGACATCCGCCTTTTGCTCCAAGGCTCTAGGTGGCTGGGAATCCAAGGGAGGAATGAACCTCAGTTTTCAGCTCTAGGGAAGAAAGGAGGAAACAGAGACTCAAGAGGAGGTAACCTAAATGCTTTGGGTTCTTCATGTAGGAATTTTCGTTGGGATACTCTGTGTTTCTGAACCTCCAAGTCAACTTCTGGATCTGAACCTCAGGTAGCAGCATCCTCAACCCCCAGGTCAATTTCTGGATCTCAACCTCAGGCAGCAGCATCCTGAGGATCTGCCCTGGATATGAGGTCCTGAAAGGAGCCAGTCTCGAACTGTGCTCTCAACAGTTCCCTTTCATCTAATGACAAGGGTTGCTGCTCCATCTGATGCCCTCTCCTCCTAAAGTCAGGGAAAGGGTCTTTCTGAGAACCACCTACAGAGACTGTCTTACAGATTGCCCTCTGTAGACCCTTTGCTCTCTTCCTTGTTGCAATTTTATGGCCAATGCTTTAGACTTGGTAATTTGCACCTATTCTTGGTGACACCTCCTAGTTGGTGTTGAACCCTTTTGGTCATAGCTCAGATCTATGAGATAACCACATGATACCAAAATCTTTTAGGACAATATATTAGAAAAAATAAATTATATTAGTCCTATTAACCTCTATATTTTTTGCATTTTACAGATTTGAAGCCAACTCATAAATGAGTTCCACATTATTTTTTACAGCTGCATTGTGCTTTATCGTGTCACTACCATAATTTATTTACTCACTTTCCTATGAGTGGACATTTGTTTCTAATATTAAGCTATTACAAATAATACTAGAAGGAATAACCTTGTGAAAATATACAGTATTTGTGTATGTTTGGATGTGTATCTTCACAGATTCCTAGGTCTGGTGCTGGTAGGTCAAATAGTAAGTGCATGTGTGTAGTTTCATTAGGTATTCTCAAATTTCCCTCCAAAGGGGTACTATAAGTATTTACTGCCACCAGCAATATATGTGAGTAACTGGTTTACCGCAGCCATGTTAATCAGTTTCTTATTATTCTTTTGACATTTGTAGAGTATCTGATGACTTAACCTCTCTCATTCCTGATGTTACCAATTGTGTCTACTCCTCTCTCTTTTTAAAAATTTTTCTGCCTAGAGGGTTATCAATTTTATTGACCATCTCAATGAACTAGCATTTAGTCTTATGATTTTCTTTATTGTTTCACTGTTTTCTATTTCCTTTGTTTCTCTCTTTATATTTATTATTTCTTTTGTTTACTTGGTGTTTAAGCCACTCTACTTTTTCTGGTCACTTAAAGTAGAAACTGAGGCCATTGATTTGAGACCTTTCTTCTCTTCTAATATAGGCATTTTAGTACTGTAAATTCCCCTCTAATACTACTTTAGCTATATCTCACAATTTTGATGTGTTGCGTTTTCATTTTTCTTCAGTTTGAAATTACTTACTGATTTCTCTTTGAGTTTGTTCTTTGATCCAAGAGTTAGTTATTTAGATGTATGCTGTGTAGTTCTCAAGTATTTGGGGATTTTCCAGTTATTGATTTCTAATTTAATTACATTGTAACCAGAGAATATACTTCGTGTAACTTGAATCCTTTTAATTTATTGAGACTTCATTTATGGTCCAGAATATGGTCTATCTTGATAAATATTCTATGTGTACTTGAAGAGAATGTGTATTCTTCTGTTATTGTGTGAATTGTTCTGTAAATGTCAGTAAGGCCCAGTTGGTTCAGAATTATTTTATTTTATTTTTTAAGTTCCAGGGTTCATGTGCAGAATGTGCAGGTTTGTTACATAGGTAAATGTGTGCCATGGTGGGTTGCTGCATCTATCAACCCATCACCTAGCTATTAAGCCTGGCATGCATTAACTCATTTTTCTAATGGTCTGCCTGCTTGCTGCCCTCCCGCAAAAGGCCCCAGTGTGTGTTGTTCCCCTCTCTGTGTCCATGTGTTCTCATTGTTCAGCTCCTACTTATAAGTGAGAACATGCAGTGTTGGGTTTTATCTCTCTGCATTAGTTTCCTGAGGATAATGGCTTCCTGCTTCATGCATGTCCCTGCAAAGGACATGATCTCATTCCTTTTTTATGGCTGCATAGTATTCCATGGTGTACATGTACCAAATTTTCTTTACCCAGTCCA